TAAGAGAGAAAGAAAGAAAGAAAGAAAGAAAGAAAGAAAGAAAGAAAGAAAGAAAGAAAGAAAGAAAGAAAGAAAGAAAGAAACAGGGAGAGAGAGCAAGAGAGAGTGACTGGAGACTAAAACATACGATGGTTGCGGGGAAGATACTGCAGAGGAGAAAAACCTCCGAGTCCCTTGGACGGCAAGGCCATCCAGTCGGTCGGTCCTAGAGGAGATCCACCCTGACTGCTCTTGAGAAGGCCAGATCCTGAAGAGGAAAGTCTTGCTGGGAACGATGGAGGGAAGAAGAAGGAGAAGGAGGAGGGGAGGGCAGAGGAGGAGGGGGCTGGACAGAGTCGCTGAAATGGCAGCACAGGCCAGGAAGGCCTGGAGGAATGTGGTCCATGGTGCCACGATGGGTCAAACACGACTTCACAACTAACAAAACAATAGTGTGTGTGTGATTGTGGAGGAGGAGGAGGGCAGACAAGTTAGCAATTGAGGCCCTGGGGAAGGAGGCAAGGGAGCCCACCAGCCTTCTCTGCTCTGCGCACCCCGTTTCCTTACAAGAGGGCAGGGCAAGGCGGCTGCTAGACGGCCACCTATCTGGCCACTGAAGCCGGTGGGGTGGGGGCTCAGCCGACAGCTGGGACAGCTGTATCCACTAAACCTTGCACCTTCAGGCCAGCCTTTGACTTTGGAACAATGAAAGATGAAAAGGTTTCGCTTGCAAATAAAACAAACTTTGCAGGCAGAGAAGAAAAAACGGGAGGGAATTTTAGGACCCCCCCCCACCTCTAGCCATGAAGGCCTCGAGGGAATGGGGCCTTGGGGGAGGGAGGAACACCTCTCTCTCTCTCTCTCTCTCTCTCTCTCTCTCCCTCCCTCTGCACTTCCAGATTTAAAGGCAAGTCAAGAAAAAAAAATGCTTGAAAAATTGGAAGCCATGTTTTTGACGAGAAGGTCCAGGGGAGACAGGAGAGCAGCCTTCCAGTATTTGAGGGGCTGCCCCAGAGAGGAGGAGGAAGGGGGTCAAGCTATTCTCCAAAGCACCTGAAGGCCAGACAAGGAATAACAATGGATGGAAACTGACCGAGGAGAGATTCAACCTGGAAATAAGGAGGAATTTCCTGAGAGAATAACCAACCCATGGAACAGAAGTTGCCCTCGGAAGTTGTGGGAGCTTCATCACTTGAGACTTTCAAGAAGAGACTGGACTGCCATTCGTCAGGAATGGTGTAGGGTCTCCTGCTTGGGAAGGGGGTTGGACTAGATAACCTACAAGGTCCCTTCCAATTCTGTTAATCTGAATCTATCTAAGATGATCAAAGGCCTGGAGGCTAAAACCTACCATGAACGGTTGCAGGAACTGGGCCTGGCTAGTCTAGGGAAGAGAAGGACCAGGGGAGCCTTCCAAGATTTGAGGGGCTGCCCCAGAGAGGAGGAAGGGGGTCAGACAAGGAATAATGGATGGAAATTGACTAAGGAGAGATTCAGCCTAGAAATGAGGAGGAATTTCCTGAGAGAATAACCAACCCATGGAACAGAAGTTGCCTTCGGAAGTTGTGGGAGCGCTTTGAAAGTGTGATGGTGGTGGGAAACCCAGATGTTTGCCAACTGGCTCATATTTACGACGGTTTGCCATGTCCCAGGGTGTGGGTGGGTGGGTGTCACTGGATCCCCTTTTGAGATTTTCTGTCCAGCAAACTCCACCTGAAGCCGGATTCACTTGGGACTCACTTGACAAAGGCAGCGGTGGCGAGAGAGGTCGTAACATGGGGCGAAACTCACTTAACAACTGTCTTACAACCTCACTTGCGATCGAACGTTAAATACCCCCCGTGTAATTTAAGATGGGTTGGAAAGGGGCTTAGAGCTCAGAAAGCAGCTTTGCCCTGAAGATGGGGAGTTCTGGATGAGACCCCCCCCCCCGCCCAGCCCTGCTTTCGCCTTGCCCCTGACCTTTGACCTGGCCTTCTGACCTCGGGTACAGATGGATTGCTGAGACCTCGGTCAGAGTTCAGTCCCTGCCTGGCTCTTGCAACAACTTTAATGAAAAGGAAGAACAACAACTCGGGTCTGATTTGCAGCCCCACCCAGAAGGAAGGTTGACTCAGTCTTCCGTCCTTCCGAGGTGGGTAAAACGAGGACCCAGATTGTTGTTGGGGCAATAGGCCGACCCTGTAAAGCGCTTAGAGGGGGCTGTAAAAGCACTGTGAAGCGGTATATAAGTCTAAGTGCCATTGCTATCTTAGGATGGAATAAATGGATAGAATAGAGCTGGAAGGGACCATGTTTAGTTTCCATCCATGGTTTCTTGTCCTGCCCTCCGGTGCTTTGGAGAATAATTTGTGGCAGCCCCTCAAATACTGGTATCATGTCACACGCAATTCTTCTTTTCTTTAGTCTAGCCAACTCTTAGTCCTCTCTGTAACGCTAATGGCGGACGGGGTACGTTTTATCAGGAAGAATCCACGGATTCCTGATCAAATGTGCAAAAGCTGCTGTTAAAAAGCAGCCTGGAAAAGCTTTTTGGACGCCTTGACTTAAGGACGGGCGGGTTCTTGCCTTCCCACTCCTGCAATTTGCCAAGGCTGCAAAGGTGATTCCTCCAGGCCCGGCTTCGAGCGGATGCAAACAAGCCACGGACTCCGAAGGGTGACATCTTCGTCTTGAATGCAAATTAAACTGAGTCATGCATCTTTCTGTAAGGCGTTAACAGAAGTGGCCCCTGGCCAACTTGGGTGAGATAAGGGAAGACTGGCAACCGTCAAAGGGTACGTTGCCCAACCTGGGTTGACATTCACACAGACAGGATTGTGCAATGTGCCGACTGCGTGATGGCAGGACCGAGGGGCGTTGGGTTCTTTCTCTTCCCTCCCTGTTGCTGGAAATGAGACCGGTGGCCTTTTCTGCCTGCGTCCCCCAATATCACAAGGACTCTAAGACGCCAGGATGAAAGTCTTCTTTGGAGCTTGAGGGTGGGCACAGAAGATTTGAGCGGCTGAACGGAGGAAAAACACGGCTCCTGAGAAACTTGAAAAGGATAGTTTTTTCATTTTGATCTCTTGATTCAATCAATTCTGTATTTGTTTGTGGAGTCAGCACATGGTGGCCCCCGATACTCCCCCAAGACTTTCGGGGGCTAAGGAGGGCTTAGCAATTACCCGTCCAATTACCAGGGCGACGCTCTGCAACTGCACCCCCCTGGCACTGTGCATTATTAATTCGAGGTACTGCTGAAACCAGCATATCCCTCCCGCTCGTGTTCCGGGC